GATGGTTGTGACTGTGAATCATTGTCATCATAGTTAAGTAGGAATGTTGGTTGCTTTGTTCCTTTGAAAGCTTTCATGTTGTCTTCTGGTACCATGAAACCTAGGTTTCAGAAAGCAGGTGTTCAATCAGTTTGCCAGCATCCTGGTTTCCTATCTCTCCTTAACTTTCTGTTGTATCTGTAGAAGTTGTGTATTTGAGCACACCCAGAGCAACATGATTTTTAGCAACACATGTTGACAGGGAATGTTTGATCCAAATTTGAAATTGGGGACTGCAAGAGGCCTCCTAAGGCATTTTCTGATAGCAAAGGTGCCTTGCCTGACCTTTGCTTCTCTGTAGTTATTAGTCTAATACTGACCTTTACCACAAGGTCTGTATACTCAAGAGGGCTGGTACCTTCTGTTTGAATGATCTCTAGAAAAAAAGTTTGTTTGTAGGAACATTTGCCTACAATCTCTTTTTGAATGACCTTGTTTACGATAATTTAAAAGAAATCTGAAATTTTGATTTTTTTAAAAAATTTCTGGAATTTAGTTATCTTATCAAAGCATCATCATAAATGAGAGATCCAATACCAGCTGTATTTCTGATCCATTCATCTATTGATTGGTGCTGAATTTGGCTTTAAAGGACTGATCATCCTTTTGTATTCTGAATTAACATTTTCAAACAAAAGTCAAATATTCAATTAATATTTGCCTAATGTCTGTATCTGATATTATTCTTTTATATCTGAAGTCAATCTGTGTAAAAAGACAATGAAGGCTTCTTAGAGGTCTTGTATAATTTTAGTAAATGACTCATTCCACTTTCCTGATGCTTCAACTATGTTCCAAGTATTCAAGACGGCTAAACAATATTGCACAAAGGTATAATTATCAAATCTGAACTATTTTCTGCAAATCAACATATTTGTTCTTCCCCAGAAGCTTGTCTTTGGAAATTTCAATACCTCTAGCCCTTTCCTTCTGTTCTATGGCCCTAGCTTCATCTCTCCATCATGTTTTCATTGTAACTAAGGACTAGCTTCCAATATTGCTGTAACTAAATATTTCTAGTCTTGTGGAATAATTCTGTTCCTAGTAGCTCATGAATTTAACATCTGCCTCACAAAGGGTGAATACATAAATATATGATAGCTTCCTTAAATCTCTTTAAATCTAAAATTTCTACAGGACTCCAATTAACTTTTGAATAGCTATGGGAGTACCTACCATCTGGTGGTCATTCTTCTGTGGCAATTAGATATATTAAGGTGGGTTTCCTAATAACATTGGATCATTCCTCTTCAGTTTCATAATGCGATGATTCAATAGGTTTTGCTCTATATTCCTCTACAGGTATCTGAGTTTTTTTCTCATTTTTATTAGTAAATCTTTCTGAGGCTTGTAGCTTATCAATTACAAGTCTTTCTTAAGCTGTTTTTTTTAATAAATTGTAAATTGTCCCAAGGCTTATACCTTATCAATCATTTTTTTTCATATTTTCATTATTAAGTCTTTCTAAGACTCTTATTTTATTAATCAAATTATCATATTTGGCCCAGTTATCAAACCACGTTTTTAAGGATAAAAATTACAATTATCAACCGGATAACAATTGTGATGAACATTATCACAATATCATTTTAATTTTTATATTTTCATCTACCTTTTTCATTTGCCAACTTTTCATCGTATCTCTAAAAAGGGTCGTAATTCCCTGCATTGTGATATTACTGATACTTATCATGGGAAACATACCTCCTCTTTGAAAACCTAATTTTTCCTTTAAGAAATCCCAGGTATCTCACCAGATCTGCTGACAATGACAGCAAAAGTGGAGCTGTGATCCAGGGTAACCAGCTGGGTTGGTGACCCTCAAGTGCGGTGAGGAGCATGGACTAGCTGTTGCTTATCAGCATGCCTGAGTGGAGGACATGGAGGGTGCATAACTGGGTCACATAGTTGTTTGTAGCAGTGACAGCAGCAGTAAAAGTCAGAGCCCTGCATAGGTCTCAAGGCAGCCCAACTGGCTTGGGTTGATGGTCATGGAGAGGGGTCCAGGGAAGACTCGCATGGTAAAATAAGAGAGCACCTGCTGGCGGTGGGGTGGTTAACCAAAATGGTGTTTAGGACACAGGAGGGCAGGGAGCAGAGGAGGCTGCAGTGGAAAGTCTGCAATGGAAGAATTCTAGAAATGAGAAAAACCAGCTGAGAGCCTGTGAAGAGGGAGACAAAGCTGGTGCCAGGGACAATAAATGATGGGTTCCCTGTCTTGGTATAATTTAATAATATCCCACATTGGACACTAGATTTAATGATTATCTAAATCACTAATAAAGCTCAGAGTCAGATAGTAGGATATGAACCTGGTAGATCCAAATGGTCACAGATAAAAATTCCAGTTGACAGTTCTCTCTGCTTTTCCAAGATCCAAAATGCCTCCAGAACTCTTCAGCACTTTGTGCTTCCTCCCTGTGTCCCTCACTCCTGCTGTGCATGCCAAAAACTTTTATGTTTTATACTGGTCAGATGAGTGTGAACTTCATCCTCTGAATCAGTGTTCAAATTATTAACAGTTTTGGGAGACAAAACAAGGTAATCTTCCCCCTACTGCCTCCCCAACCCCGAAAAAGAGAGATTCTATATAATCTCATACCCTGTGCAATTTCCTGCAGCTTCTCATCCACACAGAAGCAACCACACTCTGGTATTTCTCCAAATAAATCTCTTTTGTGATATTTTTGGTGAAGTTTGGCTTTGTGGTATTACTTGGCTTCTGACTGTCAAAATACCTTCCCTTCAGAGCTATCACAGTTGCTTATCAAAAAACTCTCCCCTCCAAATTTTACCATTTGCATCCAGCAAACTTCCCATCAGAGATCCCACATCTCCTTTGGGGAAGTTTTTCCTTCAGAGATGCAACATTTGTGGTAATTATTCCCACAGATGGAGGGGATGCTTCCCCTCAGTAAAAATGTTCTACTAGGGTGAAGGTAGTTTGCCAAGCCAGGGATTTTCACAATAGTCATTTCAAATCGTATATATTTTAGGGTAATTTTCCATAGGAATCCAGGAAAAACTTATGGCCAAGCACAAAATAAAAGGCCAGAAGTGATGAGTTCTGGGTAGTTTTGTGTATGTTTCTGTCCCTTGCAGACTCTTCCCATATGCCTAATATTTTAACATTTTCTTCCCTCTTCTCAAATAACAAATCAGCAACTCACTTCAAAACTTGAAGATATTTCTAGCCCTATTTTTGTCACAATAGTGATGGCTTTGCATGTTTTCTTTTCTCAAATTCTACTAGGCCAAACATTTTAAGAGTCAGCAAACTTCAAAAATACATTCAGATTTTGGAAATTTTTATTCCTAATCCTCTCATGTACTGCTAAGGTTTGGGAACACATTTTTCAAAATTGATGAAAAATGTCCCTAGCTTGGAGATTAAATTTAAGGATATTAGAGAAATAAATATTAGTGATGGTGTGAGTGTTTCCTAATATGAAAAAAGAAATAAGTACTATAACCTAGACAGTGGTTACATAAGATAAAGCTTAGTGTCACCATAATTAAGGTGATAGCAATTTCCTGTATTCCTACATAATATAATAATAGAGTAAGTAAAATATTCATGCCAAAGATACTAAAATGCCGGGGGAAGGCTGAATGCAGTCACCATCTAGATGTCTTTATATTTAATGAGTTGTATGTTTTCCTTAGCAATGGGTCCCTGCAGTGAGTTTTCAGAGAGAAACCTTATTTCCTAACATTTGTCTGAGCTGGTTAGGGAACTACATGCGATCTCCTAGGCCAACAACTTAACTGAATGCAATGTAGTCCTACAAATGAACACCTTGCCTGGCTGCAGAAGATGGTCAATTCAGATAGGACATTCCCCCTTACTAGCATTAGTCACTAGGATCATCCTCACAGATTCCAGACTGATTCCACTGCCCTGTTTTCACACATCTCTATCGCTCCCCAATTCTAGCTGCCTCTTCATACACTTTCTCACTCATTCCCTCCCCTTTCATCTGATCATTCCCACTCCCTTCCCCACACAATACACATGCAAAAATGATTCTTTTTCCTCTTTTTGGGGAGGAAGGTCCATGAGTGAACCCTAGAGCACCCCTCTTTACCTGACTGCTCTGGGTCTATAGATTGTTGCTTGATTATCTCCTTCTTAAGAGCTAATATACACTTATAAATGAAAATGTACCATATTTGGCTTTCTGGATCTGGGTTACCTCATACAAAATTAGTTTTTCTAGTTGCATCCATTTACTTGCAAATTTGGTGATTTCATTTTTAAGTAGCTCTATTGTGTAAAGATAATACATTTTCTTTATTTGTTCTTTAGTTGAGGGACATCTAAGTTGTTTACAGTTTCTGGATATTATGAGTAAAGATGCCCTGAACATAACTGAAAAAGGGGTCCTTGTGGTAGGATGGAGCACCCTTTGGGCATATGCCCAACAATAGTATAGCTGGATCTTTAGGTAGATCAATTCCAGTTTTCAGAGGAGCTACCACATTGATTCCCATAGTGGTTGTACCAGTTTTCACTCACAGAATCCCTGGAGGAGTGATCCTTTTACTCCACAAGCTCACAAGCATGAGCTGATATTTGTGTTATTTATCTCACCCATTCCTACAGGTTTTTGGTGGAATCTCAATGTCGTTTTGATTTGCATTCCCATGATATCTGAGGATGCTGAAACCTGGTAAGTCTTTCTAAGCTGTTTTAAATTCTACTCATGAGAATTCTATTCTTTTATTTATACCCCATTTCTAATTGGATTATCTGTTTTTATATCTAATTTCTTAAGTTCTTTATACATATTAGATAATAAACTGCGATCATAAGTGGAGTTGGTAAAAATCTTTTCCCATTCTGTAGGCTGATGTTTTGTGTAATTGATGTTGTCATTTGCTTTACAGAAGCTTTTCAGTAAAAAGAGGTTACATGGGAAGAGGCAAGGCTGATTGGCAAGCGCGTGGTGTCCCGGAAACATGGCGGAGCGCCCGAGGAAGCGTCCGTGTGGCCCAGGTGAACACGGCCAAAGGGTTGAATGGCGAAAATGAAAGCAGCAGTAGAAGGAGGAGAAAAAGAAGTGGAAGGATCTCAAAATGATGAAAAAACTGGAGCGGCAGCGGGCCCAGGAAGAACAGGCTAAGCGCCAGGAAGAGGAGGAGGCTGCTGCCCAAAGTAACGACCAGGGGCCTTACACTCTGAGTGTGGCCCTGTCAGGCTCCATCCTGGACAACGCCCAGTCATCTGAGCTTCACACCTACCTGGCTGGGCAGATTGCCAGAGCCTGTACCATCTTCTGTGTGGACGAGATTGTGGTGTTCGATGAAGAGGGTCAAGATACCAAGACTGTGGAAGGGGAATTCAGGGGAGTTGGCAAGAAGGGGCAGGCATGTGTACAGCTGGCCCGCATCCTGCAGTACCTGGAGTGTCCACAGTACCTGAGAAAGGCGTTCTTCCCCAAACACCAGGATCTGCAATTTGCAGGGATCCTCAACCCCTTGGACAGCCCTCACCACATGCGGCAGGACAAGGAATCAGAGTTCCGAGAAGGCATCGTGGTGGGCCGGCCCACCAAGGCAGGCCACGGCTCTCTGGTTAACTGTGGGATGAAGAAGGAGGTGAAGATTGACAAGAAACTGGAGCCCGGACTTCGGGTGACCATGTGACTGAACCAAAAGCAGCTCCCAGAGTGTAAGACAAGGGAACAGTCAGGTCCTCACAGGACCCCTGCACCAAAGCCGGTCTCTACTGGGGCTACACCGTCCGCCTGGCCTCCTGTCTCAGTGCTGTGTTTGCTGAGGCTCCCTTTCAGGATGGGTACGATTTGACCACTGGGACATCAGAACGTGTCTCCAACGTGGCCTCTGCCCAGCTGCTCAGCTTCAGGCATGCTCTTGTGGTGTTCAGGGGCCTCTAGGGGCTGGAAGCTGGAGTGGATGCTGACCCCAACCTGGAAGTGTCTGAACCCAGTGTTCTCTTCGACTTTTATGTCAACACATGCCCCAGCCAGGGCAGTCGTACCATCGCACTGAGGAAGCGATACTCATCTCCTTGACTGCCCTGCAACCTGGTCTCACCCAGGCTGGTTCCCAGACCACCAGACAACTTTCTGGATCCAGGATGTAGAAGCAGCAGGAAATGGAGGATCACTAGGAACAGACATGGTCAAGACTTGTTTACAAAAATAATCACCTTTAATATGAGCCAGTCCAATCTCCCTCACTTGCTGCCAGCAGTGATGGCCTTGAGGTTTCCAACTCGAGCCAGGATACTGGGCACGAAGAGCAGCCCTGAAGCCCACTCAATGCTCTCCATGGGCACCAGGAAATGATCCAAAGGGATGGTCTCATCCACAGGGGCATTGGGCATCACATAGGAACGCAGCTCAATCTGCCTGCCAGTGGCCTCCAGGATGAGCACCTTGAAGAAGTGTGTGGGCACTGCCACGTGGTTCTTCCCAATAAC